TCTGCCCATTTGTGCCACTGTTTCCCCTCAGGGTGGGGACCTCCCACCTCCCTCCTTTAAAGCCCACCAACATAGAGGAACTCTCCCCAGGGTTGATTGGCAACTAGATTTTACTCATATGCCAGCTTTCAAAAAGCTCATTACCTATTAGTTTTGGTAGATCCCTTCTTAGAATAGATAGAGGCTTTTCCCACTACAGGGAACACAGTAGCCCCTTGAGCTTATGTATGGCAGGCCTTTCCTCCTGAGCAGTCTGCCAAAGTAATTTGTCACTCCAATCCTCTCTCCTCCATGACTACATACCATCTTTAACCAACTTTTTCTTACTTTTCCCCCAGCTGGATATAAAAAGACTGCCAAACGTGATGGATGGGGAATGCGCTAACACCAATGGATACCAGAAAAATGGCAGCCTGAGAGGAACCCTTCCAGATCCAGCCTCATCAAACCCCCTCCCCCTTTACTCATTGACCTTACCCAGCAGGAATTAGTCAGACGAGAAACGCCATCCCCAATCCTATAACATAAAAGGCTGGAATGATAGGGTTCAGATCCAGGCGACCCCAGACCCAGAAACCGCAAGGCCCCTAAAAGGAACTGAGTCAACCACCTCCCAGCCACCTGCAAAATAACAAAACAGCTCTGGGAAATTAATGACTAGTGTATTGTGATCACCAGAGTATGCTCCACAGGCTGACAAACAGGTTTCCCAAGCCCTTAGCTGCAATTAATTCCTGGAACCCCATAATTGTAGAAAACATGTTTTACAGTAGATGTTTTCCTCAATAAATTTCACCAAGTACAGACCCCCACACTCTCCCTGAGCAAGCAGCCCCCCAAACAGTCCCAAACAGCAGAAAAATATTCTTTTTCTGCATTCTGTCCTTTATAAGCTACCCCTCTGTAGTCATTAGGCTGCTGGTTCTTCCTTACACCCAAGTTGAGGACCAGCCCTGCAAAAGCCAATTAAACTTTTGCTTTGCCAGAGTCTTCTTTGTTTCTGTTTTGAGGCAATCCTGACCCCTGCCACCTTTTTATCCAACAGGGCCCAGCTTCTAAGAAAGAAATAGATCATCCTCAAGATGTCAGGAAGGTATATCAAGACAAAAGACATTCATGCTTAGTAGGATCCCTCCCTGCAGATGTGTTGAAAGACCTGAGCTAATTACCTTAGAGTATAAGACTCTCCTGTTCTTGTGAACATGTTAGGCTTGGGGTTCCCAAAGTCACAGGGCCTCAACTGTACTGTTTCTCAAAATAGGAAGAAGTCGAGAGTAGGAGATGGTTCAGTGGAATGACTGTTAAGGGAGGGTTACACTCCAAGAACATCTTTGCACTCTGGCTAACCTCAGTTTGTTGATGGTCCCCAACTAGTGGCCTGTGTTCTGGTCTCCCTGGTATGAGCTCAGAAGCATTAATTTTTTAAAATGGCTTTAGTGAGTCTAATTCACATATAGTAAAGGATATTTTATTATGAATGTGCTGCCTTACAAGCTTTAACCCCAGCCTCAGATACATACATATTCACACAGAAGGGTACCTACATTAGCAGTATCAGGACAGAACGTAGACCTATATCACAGCCTCCAGAGTTTCTTTGTCCTTTTTTTTTTTTTAAAACTAGTTCTCCTGTAGCACCATCTGGCCTGGATACTGCTGTGTAGAACAGGCTGGCCTCAGTCTTACAAAGATCCAACTGCCTCTGTTTCCCAAATTCTGGTATTAAAGGATTGTATTTTTTCTTTTTTCTTTTTCTTGTTTTTGTTTTTGTTTCTAAGATAGTATTTTTTTTTAAAGCTGTTTGGAGAAAGTGGCTATAACTTTTTTTTTTTTTTTTGGTTTTTGAGACAGAGTCTCCCTGTAGCCCCAGCTGACCTGGAACTTGCTGTGTAGACCAGGCTGGCCTTGAACTCAGAGATCCACCAAGTGCTGGGATTAAAGGCATGCACCACCAAGCCCGGCAGTGGCTACAACTTTTTATCTGTCCTTTGTCATAAAGGTTTTCATTTTCACTGTAATTTTTAAAGCTGTTTGGAGAAAGTGGCTAATACTTTTTATCTGTCCTTTGTCATAAAGGTTTTAATTTTCACTGTCAGCAGTTCCCTGTGAATAATTATAGGCAAAAGTCCCTGTTGTCCCAACACACAGACACTGGTGGATGCTTCCTGGGAAAAAGCAGTATAAATTTGATGAGCCATTACTCAAGGGCTAGCCAGTTGGCTGTACCTGCTCTGTGCCAGGGGATTGTGCCAAGTTGGTGCTAAACAGTCACATATTCCACTTATAACATGGTTGAGATGGGTATTATCTATTTCCAAGTAGGGAAACGGAGGCACCAAGCAGTTTAATAACTTTCCATGAAGCCAAGAAGGAATAGAGGCAGCCTGTTGCTGTGGAGCGGCGGGTTGCGCGCTGCTACGCCAGCTGTTGGCTGGGGTGCGTGGGTTTTGCACACCGCGTTGCTGTGCGGGTCCCTGGCTCTCCGCAGCTACCAGGCGCTGGCGGCTCTGCGGGTCGCTGTCAGCTGTGGGGCAGGTTCTGTTCCAAGCTGCTGGACACTCCCTCTGTGTATGCGATCCGTTGGCCACCAGATCACGAGGGGAGGTGCAGGAACAGCGAAAGCAAGATCTTCGTGAGTGGTTGTTGACGGAAGGACAGCCCCCTCCGGGAAGACTGAATCACAGGCTGGTAACACAGGATACAGCTCCAGACAAGTTCAGTGATTCAGCTCTGCTTTATTGGGGTGAAACCAGAAGATTTATAGTGTGGAGGCAGCAGCAAAAGCCTTAGTTGATAGGTGCTCCTAGGATGCCCCATTTACATGTGGCGGTGGGCTTCTATCAGACTGTCAGACAATGCCTGATTAAAACCTGGTAGTTTCTGTGCCAGAGGTCATGTATCTGTGATGGCCACTTCAAAGGTGAGTCAGGAAGAGAGTAGGAGGCACCCCGCTGAGAAGGGGAGCCTTTCCATTTGCGCCGAGCCGGCTTGTGGCTATCCGGACATGGAGAGACTACGACCCTAAACAGCAGGGTTCCCCAACAGCAGCCTTTCAATGCCAGTGTGCCACTGTGTAAGTGGTTCCAAGCCAGAAGAAATTCAAATAATCCTGTTTGACTCCAGCCTCTGAAAATCGAGTAGACCAGCAGTTTGACCTAGAGGTTTGCAGAGAGCCCTGGCCCTTTTTTCTCTGTGGTACTGTTTTCCTTGCATGATAGGGCTGTTACCATAGCCTCAGGCCCCACAGCTACACCCCATACTTCCCAGGGGAAGGAGGGCCCTGGTCCCAGTCCCAGGAAAGTCTCAGGATTTGCTGAGATTTGTCTAGCCTGTTTCCTGCCCTCACCTCAACCAATCACTAGCCAGGTAGCTGTTAGGATTGAGTTAGCCAAGATCAAATGTTGTGTTCCCCCTAGTTAGAAGTCAGAGAGACTAAAGATGGAAAATGTCCAAATTTTCCCACTTTGGTACTATGACACAAGTTTGCCACTTTTTTTCTTGGTATCTCTTTCATTTTATGAACCCCTTGTGTCTGTGTTTCTTGCCTGATGACTTAGGGTAAATCACCTGTCCACACCTGTGGCATGAGATTACCTGTTCACCTTATAAGCAGATCAAACAAAGACATATATGTGTAAATTGTAGAGTGCTTTAAGTTTCTTTTAAGCTGTCTTTATAATTAAAAGGTGTTACTTAGAGGTGGATGGGAAATAAAATCTAACTTCAAATCTAAGTGGCATAATTTCTATGCCTTCTAAAATATATTTTCAAGAAGAAAATGTTAGTAAGAATGTAGAGAAATGCAAACAGTCAAACAATATTACCAAGAAAGCAAATGATATACCCAGAATAGAATACTATGATAGTTCCTCAAAATGTTAAAAATAAAACTCACACTGGGTGTGGTGATGCATGCCTTTAATCCCAGAACTTGGGAGGCAGAGGCAGGTGGATCTCTGTGAGCTCAAGGCTGGCCTGGTCTCCATAGTGAGTTCCAGGCCAGCTGGGGCTACAGGGAGACCCTGTCTCAAAAAGACTAAAAAAAATGTGTGAGGAATGGGGGATTTGATGGCTGTCCAGAGTTTTTTGGAGAGAAAAACATAGCTTAGGCCAGCAGCTTGTCATTTTGAATACTACTCTAGATTGGAAGACTGTTGGGATGAAGGTGGAATCTTTGAGAATTCTCAGTTACACCTTTTACTCTTCATGATGACAGCTCTAGCTAGAGTTTGCCTCCTGGTTCACTGGGCAGGAAAGATGGCCTCATACTCGGCCTGGGGTGGCAGTGTGGGCACAGTTTTTATTATGACCAAATTTCTACAGAGAGGCAGCTTCAGTGAACTCATCCTCTTCCCACTAGTGAGTTCACCAAAGCCCTTATTCACAAAGCCTAATCGTTTGGGATCTATAAATGTAAGCTTCTCAATTAATTGACTCAAGTCTTAGGATAGATTTACTTTTCTTTATAAATAAATCCATGGTCTTCAATGCTCTGACACAGATGAAAGAGGTTGCTTGAGCACAGAATAAAGTCAGGGAGCCAGCATCCTTGGTTCTCATTCTGGCTGTGTTGATTATAAGCTCTGTGTCTTTAAGCCTGTTTCTTCCTCTGTAAACTTTGAGGACTAGACCAGAATCAAGGTCCAGCAGGTCTCTAAAACCCATGTTGTACTTTCTCCACAACAGACATAACTGGCTAGGCACAATGCTTTTTTTAAAATAATGTAGCTGAGTGTACCACCATGCCTTGTTTATACAGTGCTGGGGATCAAACCTGGGGCTTGGTGCATGTTATGCAAACACTTTACCAACTGAGCCACATCTCCAGACCTTAGTGTCCTTTTCAGTATGCTGCTTCTGGAAGTTGTTTTGTCATAGAAATGACATCCATTTGTCTTGATAAAACCATATGAACTCTAACTTCCTTTTATCAGTGACTCTTGGTGTGCTTGCTATTGAGGTGCTAGAGATCAAACCCAGGGTGAGTGCTCTACTATTAAACCCCAAACCCCCACCAGGGGTTGGTTGAAGCCCCTACAAGGAAAGTTGTGTTCCATGAACTGCTTACTTCAGGTGGATGGTACAGCAACTCACACCTGCATGTCTCGCTCTTGTCTCTCTTTAACCACTCACATTTTCTTGTAGTTTAAGAATCAGTGCAGATGTCTCCTTTATAGATCCTGTCTCCATTCTGGCATATCGAGTTAGTCATTTCTTCCATAATGTTCCCACAACAATGTACATGCAAATTATAATTATAAGCTGGACCCAGTATTGTTTATCACCATGGCTCTCCACCTGCCCAGCCTCTAAACTCTTTAGTGTTCATAATATCACAGCCTCTTGGGCTGCTTGTTTTACTTTTGAAAAGTTTTTCTTTTGAAAAAATTACTTCAGAGTGCTGGAGAGAAGGCTCAGCAGTTAAGAGTACTGACTGCTCTTGCAGAGGAACAGGTTTTAGTTCCCAGCACCCACATGGCAGTTAAAAAGTGTAACTCTAGTTCCAGAGGGTCCGATGCCCTCTTCTGACTTCCATGAGCATTGCACAACACTGGTGCACCTACATACATGCAGGAAATGCACTCATGCACTCATACACATAAAATGCCCACAGAAGCCAGAAGAGGGCATTGGATCCCCTGGAACTGGAGTTATAAATGGTGGTTAGACACGATGTGGGTACTGGAAACCAAACCCCAGTGCTCTGCAAGAACAGCCAGTGCTCTTAACCACTGAGCCATCTCTCTAGTCCTAGATTTTCCTTTTTTAAAGATTTATTTTTGTTATTTTTTTAATTACATGGGGAGGTTTAATTACATGTGTATGTGAGGGTGGGTGCCTGTAGAGGCTAGAGTCATAGGAATGAAAGAAAAATCCATTTTGATAATATACCAAATTTATATAATGTATCTAGAGAGGACACATACTATATCCTATGTTAAAACCATTTTTTTTAGGCCTGAGGAGATGGCTCAGTGGTTAAGAGCACTGACTACTCTTCCAGAGGACACAGTTTCAATTCCCAGCACCCACATGACAGCTAACAACCATACAAGACTCCAATTCCAGGAGACTCAACACTCTCTTCTGGCCTCCACAGGCATTGCATACACAGGTGCACTTTCATACATGCAGGCAAAACACTAATGCACATAAGATCAAGTAAATAAATAAATGTAAATATTTTTCTTAATTATACAGATGGTACTTATATAAATATATATTTACTGTTGACCAAAATGAAATGAGAAACATTTTTCAGAAAATTTGGTTTCATATCTGAAATTGCTAATAATCAGTTTCTTAAACAATTTTGAATTTCCAGGAAATAAACAAACAATATACTAAGACTGGACAGATTGCTTAATGGTTAAGAATACTCATTCTTGCAGAGGACTCAGGTTCAGTTGCCAGCACCCACATGATGGCTAATAACGGTCCTTATGTTTTCTTATATTGAAGGAAAAGAATTTGGCCTTTGAATAATATAACTCTCTCTCTCTACAACTCCAGTTCCTGGGGGTCTGATGCTCTCCTCAGGGCTCTGCAGGCATTGAATGTCAGGAGTGTACATACATACATGAAGGCACAGCAGTCATACACATAAAAAATAGACAATAAAACTGCATTT